ACCCCCGGCGGGGCCCTGCGAGCCGCGGGCGCCAACTCCGGGGCCTCGAGCGGGGAGGGAAGGGGCTTTCCAGAGACGCGGGGCCGGAGCCGAAGGAGCCGGAGCGCGGCGCAGCGGCGCGGGGCCTCCCGGGCGCGGGGCAGTGCAGCGCCTTGTCTGGAGACGAACTCCGGGACCCTCGGGTCCGGGGGTCTCAGTGACCTGCCCCGCGGGGAGCGCGGCCGCGGACTGGCTTACAGAGGACCCTCCCCCCGAGGGGCCGGCCCGGGGCGGGGAGATGAACGGCTTTAGCACCGAGGAGGACAGCCGCGAAGGGCCCCCCGCCGCCCCCGCAGCCGCTCCGGGCTACGGCCAGAGCTGCTGCCTCATCGAGGACGGCGAGCGCTGCGTCCGGCCCGCGGGCAACGCCTCCTTCAGCAAGAGGGTCCAGAAGAGCATCTCGCAGAAGAAACTCAAGCTGGACATCGACAAGAGCGTAAGTCCCCCTGCCCCCGGCTGGGCCCCGGCGCCAGGCTGCTCCTCGCCGCGGTCCCGGGACTGCGGGCGGGACTCCAGGGCCCTCCCCGCCCTGGGCCTCGCCGCCTTTTATCTGCTGAGGAGTTGGACTCGGGATTTCCAAGGCCGCTTCAGCGCTGACATCCTCTCACTAAGATTCTGCCCAAATCCGGGAGGTTGGGGCAGGGGGGCTTCGAGGACCCTCCCTGCCTGGGAAGATGGACAACAGTTTTTTGCTCTTTTCATTGATTTAGGTGTTGGAGCAGGGAGGGGGGTAGTTAATTGTGTTGACCCACGAAGGAGCAAGTATTGGGGAAGGGGTGGTGAAGGGACCCGTCTCTTCAACTTCTCTTCCCTGTTGGAACCTTGTTATTCCTTCGGAAGAGGCAAGGTGGCTTTTACTTCTCTGTCTGCCGCGGCCTCAGCTTCTGCACAGGGTCACCGAGCTCTCTGCTTCGCAGGCCGCTGTGAGGAAATGGGTTTTCAAGGATATGGCAGAAAAAAGGCTAAGACCAGGTCTTTTGAGGTGGTTCTTGCCGTCCAAGTGACTGGAAGGAAAAACGTCAATTTTCTTAGGGGTAACTTCTTTAGAAATGCCCAGAAGGAAGGAGTTTTAAATTTGAATAGACTTGCCCTGTGTTTAGTGACGAACTATAGGAAAACTTTTCCTTTGTGATTTCACCTTTTCTAGTTAACAGTTCTAAAGATGTGCCTATTGTCAACCAATTAAGAACTTTTTAGTTTGACATCTGTTGCTGGAAGCCTTAAGTTTCTGCCTCATGATTAGGAATTGGAAATGAGTTAAGGGGATATTGAATATTCAGGTAGACCAGCTAAGAGCTTAGGTGGTTCATCCATTCTCTTTTAGGACCAAAATTTTTCCACTTTTGGAGAGATTGCTTGTTAAACTGAAAGGATGCCCACTTTTCCTCTTCTGATTTTACAGTTGAAACTGAGGCCCAGAAAGAAATAGAAAGTGACGGTGTCAAAGTCATCAGCACCTAAGAGGCTGGTTAATTTCTTAAACTCACTATTTCCAAGCCCCATGCATAAGCCTCTATTAAATAAGAAATCTTGCTTCCCCTTTCTTCCAGGCTCTTTCCTCCCACCCTCAATTTTTTAGAAGTTAATTATAATACATTTGCAACTCTTGAATGGAAAGATGCTATTTTAAAATGGTTGGGGGTGAGTTCGTGGCTTTCTTACTACTAATCTCTATGAATGAATGAATGAATGAATGAATGAATGAATGAAATTCATCTGAGAGCACACTGGCTAGGTGGTCTGGATAGGACACATGTTGAAGTGAAACGCTTAATTCTAAGACAGCAATGAATTCATCCTCTTGAAAACACTGCCTACCTTCTGTGTAGGTTGTTGGGAGCCTTTATTTGAGCAGCTTATATTAGTTATATTTTCCAACCTTTAAAAAAAAGAAGTTTCCAGTTCTTTTAAATCCTTGGATGCCATCACATCTGAACGATTGTGCTGCTGTAACAGGGGCTCCATTTACCCAGTGACCCCACTGGAAAACCTGTGTTTAGCTATGTTAATTGCTTCATGCACACTGTCTGGAAGAGAAGCAGCCTAAGCCTGGCACTAGAGTTCCCAAAAGGTAATGCTTCTAAAGGAAGAGGGTTTAGAGGTGGAATCACTCAAAATTTGTTTCAAGGCGGTGTTGTAGAGCCATTTTTTCTGAAAGGGATTCTGTTTCATTCTCACAGGCTTGGGCAGGAATTCAATTCTAAGTAAATGCTGTGTTACAAGAATTTTTAGCTGTTGTAGAAAATGAAACAGGAAAAATAAACACTAGAGCCTTTGCTACCACCCTTCTTCCTCTCTATGCCCTCCCAAAGGCCGCCAAGCTCTGAAATCTCTGAACCAGTATGTACTTGAAAATGGTTAAGTAGAAATAATGACTATTTACTTTGTAAGAGGGTCTAGCAGAGAACCTTTTTAAATAATAGCACCAAAAATCCAACTTAGGCAGTTTAACTAATTTCATGTAGACATTGGCAGTATTCTGTAATTTATTAAGATTACACATGCTTTCACACTTTCTTCCAATTAACATATTTCAGCTTTTATTCCTGGAGAAAAGTGGAAGTTAAGAATAGTATAAGGAAAATGTTGGGTGGGAAAGAACATGTGCCAGGGGTCAGAAGGCTTGGATGACTTTGGCCAGGTCATTTCCCTACTCCGAGTGGCTTCAGTTTATCCCTCTAGAAAAAATGAGATTAGGGCCAGTGAGGTTGCACTGTGATTGCTAAGTTCTGTACCATCTAGAATTCCATCATTCTGGTGTCCTGACTTGAAACCTCCCAGGCACAGCCTTAGGAATTCACCTCTTCTGCCTGTTCTCCTACCAAGTTTGTCACCCTATGAATTGGAGGAGCAGTTCATCTCTGAGAGTTTACACATGGAACTGTCTCACATGAGGGCCAGCTTCCTGTCAAGGAAGTAGAGTATGCTGTGAGTGTGCCCTCTTTCCTGATGAAAGCATGTCCAGTAGTATATATATCAGCTAGGTGGGGTCTTTGAGACAGGGACACGTGCTGTGTCGGAAAGTCCTTTGACAGAGTCGAATCTGCCAAAGCTGTCCCAATTTGTAACATACGGAAGTGGTGACTTTTACTGACTGCTTCTAGATGCAAGGGATGCATGTGTCAATGCCACAGCATTTGTTGAGCACCTGCTGTCTGCAAGGCACCATCACAGTATAAAAACTACTCATAACTCACTAATCCAACCACATGGGAGTAACTCTTCTGAATAAAAAAGTTTTAATTATTATTTCCATGAAAAGGCCTGAATTAATTGAAGCTGGTTTTCTATCAGCTTACTTTTATCTTTAAGAATTTAAGGAATAAAATCAAAAGCCTCTAAAATAAAATCAGAAGCCTCTCAAAAACATTTGTGCAACATCTGTTTCAGTGTCAATAGCCTCAAGTCATTTACACAAGTATTCGTGTTTCTGTTAGGTTTTTGAATGGTTCCTCCAGCAACATGGTACCTACATTCTTAAATAAAAACATATTCTTCACATCTCAGCTGCTATTGCTGCCTTACTATTCTGCCTCCAGCCTATATTAGAAAATCAGCAGGTTCTTCTATGTAGTTCCAGGTTCTTCTATGTAGTTCTACCTTGTGAGAATTTCTGCATCTCTCTTCACTTCTCTTTGTGGATCAATGTGAGATAATAGAAGAATTAGAACTTGATACACAAAAAAGTATTTCAGAGAGTTGTCGTCCAATAGTCATACCTGTTATCAATTTAAAAATAGTGTGTCTCATATACCATTACCAGTCTGTTTCCTGCTTTTCTCCTCCCTGGGGCAATGCCTTTCCAGCCCACTGCAAGTTCTTAACTCCTAAAGTCTGAAAATGTCCTATCACTCCCTGCCTCAGAAGCCTTGGAGAACTCCGTCTTGTCTGAAGGAAAGTCAAAGCTGTTATGATATGCACTGCACCCCCACCAAATTAGTCATCTCTACCTAATACTGTCCAACCTGGGCCTCCTCACTCATACCTTCTGTCATCCTCATCTGGAACACTAAGTCGTGGCTCATCTTTCCATCCGAATACTTCTTGTCCACCTCCAGATCCTCCCTTCCAGTAAAGGACCTCCTCCCTGACTCTCTCTGCCACAGAGATCTCTCCTTGCTGAATCCAGACCATTGTGTCTCGCTGGGAACTTGGTATTCAGTGTGGGTTTCTTGTTCTGCAACTCAGTAACAAACTCCTTGAAATGATGGCCTGCACCGTGCTCTTCCTTCTCTCTCTCCAGTGCCTTGGTCAAGGAGAGAAGCCCATTAGTGTGACAGATACCCATCTCTCTTTCCATGGAATTGGCAACTCTGACTTGAATTTGCTTCTCATCAGGTCAGGCACCTGTATATCTGCGATTTCCACAAAAATTTCATCCAGAGTGTACGAAATAAAAGGAAGAGGAAGACAAGTGATGATGGCGGAGATTCTCCTGAGCACGACACTGACATTCCTGAGGTAACAGCCCAAAAAAATCAGCTTGAGGAAGCTGGAAGAAGGGATTCTAATCTGATCCTGACCTCTGGCCTGCTTTTAGTGCTAAGAAGTAATGTTAGTCCCTTGGTTTTACTGTGAGAGCTGAAAGCTTAGAAATCAACTAGTCTGACTATCCTGTCATTTTACAATCAGGCACAGAGACCCAAGGTCACACATACAGTTTGGGGTCTCCAGCCCAGTGCCCTTTTCAGGAGTTTCATGAGGCTTTTCTTCAGGAAAATCCTGACAAATGCTTAAATACAACCACAATGTCAAGTTATTTAAAACTTTGTTATTATCTTTAAAGTCGGAGACTGAGTTTGCATGGTTTGGGGGAGGTTACTTCCCCTATTTTCTGGTCTGCAAAATGAAGGTATAAGTTGTCACTTCATACCAGCTCTGATTTTCTATCACCGTCCGTTTCCTGGTCCAGGCTTGTTCCCAAGGATCCATTCCAAAATCAGTTATACTGGAGCAGGGGTTCTCAGTCCTGGCACTGTTAACACCTGGGGCCAGATAATTCTTTGTCCTGGGTCCTGTCCAGTGCATTGTAGGATGTTTAGCAGCATCCCTGGATTCTACCCAGTAGATGCCAGTCACACCACCCTGGGTCAAGACAATCAAAAAATGGCTCCAGACAGTGCCAAATGACCTCTAGGGGGCAAAATTGTTCCTTGTTGAGAACCACTGCACCAGACAATGAGACCTAGGCTTCTCAAACCAGAAAGCCTCCTTTCCTTCAAGGTGCCAGTGTCTATTAAGTAAAATACAGGAAGGAATATTGGATTTTCTTTCTATTTAAATTGTTTTTCACTTAAGACTCAGCAAAGAAGAACCGTTTGTAGTGTACATTGAATATTTGACACATGAATATTTCATAAGGCAATTGCCTGTTAGCACTTAAAGTGAAAATGACTGTAGGAATAGAAAGAGTAGGCAGGTCTTTGTCTGCAGTTGTGGAGGAAACCTTTGAAAGTATGGCCCTTTCCTTCTGCTCCTCCCTGTGTCCCCTTTGCTAGCATTGGTGTAATGTATTTTTCTATTGTCTTTAGTATTATTATTATTTTATTTTATAAAGAAAGGGATGTATTCGATTTCTAATTGCATTTCTCCACCCCCCCTCCCCAAAAAAAAAGAAGAAAAAGATTTGAGGAATGTTTTGAAAAGAACGAAGGACTTTGGTCCCTCATATTGATCATTCATTTTGTTTTTAAGTGCTCTCCACCTGCCTGAAGCAAGAACATCTCTTTTAGAGGCAGGTAAAGGCAGCCCAACTTTCTGGGCCTTCAATGTTTCATGACTGTGCAGCTTTCCTCTCTTCCTGTGTTAGAAGAAAAAGGGGGGGTTCCTTTCCCCTCTGTTATCCAGTCATCTGCAGAGACCCTGACCCTAACCTGCTGATTTGTACACTTGCCACAGTAGCTTTTGAGTTTTCTCTGGAGGGTTGTTAAGGATTCTAATACCTAAGGCCAAGTCTAGGAAAGAACTATTTGAGAATTACAGTGCCTCCCACTGTCCTTCATACACCTCTATCCACTCTACTGCCAAGCTCTGGCCTGTCTTCCTCCAGGATGTGTGTCTGGTTTTACCTTTGCTATTCATGCTTGGTGTCCCCCTCTAGCATCAGCACCTCTCCAAAGCTCCACTTCATTATCTCACTTCCAGATCATTGATACAGCATCTCCCTCGCCCCGCCTCCCACCCCTCCTCACACCTCCCCTCCTCCCCCCCGCATCAGTCTTCCCTACAACAAACCACCACTAGACTCATCTTCCTGGAACATCACCTTCGACTACCTATGATAGCTCCTTCTGTTCTTCAAGACATGCTGCCATCCAGTCTCACCTTTTTAAACCCATCAAGATTGCCTGTAACCCTCTAGCCCATCTGTTTATCTCCTGGCTTTCTTCGCTCATCATCTTCTCTCTTTCTCTACTCTTGCTCTGTTTCAAACTGCCTTTCTAATCCCTGCTTCTCCTTAGCTCAAGCTTCACTGCCTCCTCCAGCCTTCTGGAACCACCTTCCCCAGCCAGAACTCTTTTCCCAGTGTTATTTCTGTCCTCCCAGCCAGTTATTAGTCCTCAGTGGACCATTTCTAAGACTTCTGTATAGTCCTCTCCATCCCCACCCTTACCTAGTATAGTGCTAGGCGCATAGTGGGTTCTTGGTAGGTCGTGGCTGATCAGGTGATGGATAATGTGTTTCTCCTCTTTCCTCCAGGTTGATCTGTTCCAGCTGCAAGTGAACACTCTACGGCGTTATAAACGGCACTACAAATTGCAGACCAGACCAGGCTTCAATAAGGCCCAGTTAGCAGAAGTAGGTAGACAAAATAGCACTCTAAAAAGAGAAAGCCAGCACTGTGCTTCCAATGGTAGCCTTGATTCTCCCTACTGCTCTGTGTGCCTGTGGATCATAATCCTCTCCAAAGCTCTGAAAGCAACTTTCTGTTCCCTCTTTTGCACAACTTTGAACCCAGTAGCTTTAGACCTGGAAAGCTCTTTTTCCGTGAAAGAAACCATGACACAGAGAGAGGGAAAGATTTGCTTAAAATCATACAGCAAGTTTGTAGTAGAATTGAGCCCGGAATTTCAGAACTCCTGATTCTAAAGTCCCAAGTGTTCTTTTGTTTGTTCGTTTATTCGAATCTTGGTTTGCGAGATTCTTAATAGACATGTACCTTTCTGCATATCATCAAGTGTGTCAGATTAATCATCCCCAAACCTTCCCTCATATTCTATGGGAGCTACTTTTCTTTCTTTGTTTTTTTTCTTTGATTTTCTCTACACTCATTTTGGTAATGGGAGTATTTATTATAATGAATGAACCTCAAGAAAGTTTTCTCCTGCCCTGAGTTCTTAACAGTTTGTAGGGGAGAAACTGCTCCATTAGCCATTATTTGAATATACTAACAGCCCGGCTGGATACTTCTGTCCTGTTGGCATTTGTGTGGATACCCACTCATCCCTCTTTTCTTAATATGTTTTTCTGCCTATTGTAGAACATTTGGAAAATAGAGAAAAGAAAAATACAGTCTTGTCATCCAGAGATAACCATTCAGTAGTTCTAGTTCCCCGACTCTTTCCATGTGTCCTAGTCATTCACTTTCATTCAGAGGCTTCCTTAAAGGCTCACAACCCCACTGGTTTTTGGTCTTTAGAGGTTTCTTGCTGATCTATTATTTTTTCTTAAACCTCTCCTTCACCAGCATCCAGATCAATCATAGGAGCACACAAGCCTTTCCTACTTTAAGACTGCATTACCCACTTGCCACTATTCACCGCTGGTGGCTCGAATAGGATGAGGTGGGGCAAGAGGAGATGTGCGTTCTCGGGACTTATAAAATAAAGCGAAATATCAGGAATATAGAGTAAATGATGAATTTTTATTCAAATCTGATGTCTTTCGAGATGAATTCTTGGGTCACACACCTACATCTGTTCAACTGGCTGTTCATTTGACATCATTTTTTTTAAAGACACCTTGCCAGTTCCAGGGCCTGGGAGGTTACGGTAGCAGCTGGCTAACCAGAGCAGTCCCGGTCTCTCCCTCTGTGGGGATGACCTTGAGATCATGCCATGATGAACAGTTGACTACCACCGAAATGCGACTGTACCTTGGCAATGCCGTGGGCTAAAGTCCTGCTTTTGGGAGCCTGGAAACCAAATCACCTAAGCCCCGGGGAAAGGAAAGCAGTCTGAGTTCTGCAGCTCTGCAGGGACTGCTGCAGTGGTCATAACCCCCTCCTCAGCAATGGCAGCAATTTCTAGTTCCTCTTTTGCATAGTTTAGAATTTGTGGCCCTGATATATGCATGTTTTTTTTCTGTTTTTTTCCCCGCCATATAGACTGTCAGTCGACATTTCAGGAACATACCTGTGAATGAAAAAGAAACCCTCGCCTACTTCATCTACATGGTGAAGAGTAACAAGAGTAGACTGGACCAGAAATCAGAGGGCGGCAAGCAGCTCGAGTGAGGATGAAGCATATCTTCCAGGAATGAAGTGTAATGCTTAATGCACAGGTGATATCTGCTACATTTAAGCCCATAAAGATTTTTAAGTTTTATTGTAAATAAAAGTTTGAATGATAAATACTGTAAATCATTTTGATCAGGAGAATCTTATTCTCCTGATTCAGCATGTGTATACAAAGACTTTCTTTTAAGGCAACTATTTGGCTGATAAAACAAGATCATAAAAAGATTTAAAGAAAAACTGTATTGCAGCATTCAAGAAAGCATTAAGTCAGTTCTGCTGGAAATGTGGGATAACAAATATTTTGATAGTCACCTTGTATTCCCACACTGCCACGTGTGAGATGTAGCCCTGGAATAGCAACGGTGTACAGGTGATGGTGGAGGTGCATGAGCAGACCCCCGTGTGCTGGGGCTATAGATGCCCTGCCTTGCTGCCAGCTTTGTCGTTTATCAGCAAATCAGTCTGACCCTGGTCCCCTTCACTGGCCCTGCGCCTTGTATAGAGTAGGCACTCAATCAGTATTTGTTGGCTAATTGAGCTGTCACTAACAGTGCCAGCCTTGTAACATCTGCTTCACACCTCTAGTTAATGAGACCTCTGCCATTTCTGTGGTTCACCACTTAAATTCTAGAGTGTGGAGGAAATCCTGACGCACCAGCAAGAGGTTTCAAATCACGTGAAGACTTCAGGGCAGTCGCATGTGCCAAGCTGTATTTGTGGAGGTTCCAGAAACACGGATACAGAGACCCTTACAGGAGATGCAGCCCTTTGCACACCCCTCTGTGCTTCACTCTGAGGGGAAGTTATATATCATGAGTTCAGCCATTTTCCTGGGCTATAAATGCTTTGGCAAACAGACATACTTAGTGGTTTGGGGCTCATATTTTCACAAGTACTAATCCATAGTTCACAATCACCAAGAAAGCTGCCAAGGTCCATGTGATTCCTGCTCAGAAGTCCAGCTCTGGGATAGAAAGTCTGACTGGTCTTGTCAACCTAGGCTCGGGGATCAACAGCAAATCATGGGTTTGAACAACAAAGGTCAGTGCCATCCGATCCTCATTTTTGTGAGCGATTTGCCTCCCTTTTAAGGGGAAAGGTTGCTAAAATGAATTTTTTTTAAGTATTAATAATTACCTGATTTTTTTATGTTCAAAAACTCTGCTTCCTCAATCTAACTATATCACAGCCAAAGTATCCTTTGAAAACAAAGCTTTATATACAAAAGTCTGCTTTTCCAGAATTTTCTAATCAGTGTGTTGTGGGGCAGAGGGTGTGTGGGTAGAGAATGGGAGAAAAAGTGAAGGAAAGGACTTGGATGCTAATTTCTGACCATCTTGACATATACTGTGGTCAAAAGTATCATTTTCTTACTCAGTTTTAATTCTGAGTTCTTTCTTAAGCCTTAAATACTAAAAGGAGCAGTGGACAGCCTGGCCTGGCAGAGAGTTTTAATGTCTCATAGATGGCTTAATCTGAGCATTGATACAGAGAAGTCAGAATGAAAATCCGCACTGAGCAGGGTTGTGGATTCAGTTCTGTGGAGCAGAGTGCCATGCTTTGTGTAGACTGGGGACAGGGCCACCACTCTTACTAAAACAGTGTTCCATTGCAGCAGAGCTTTCACCAGTGTTCAAAATGCATGTCTAGCAGATTGCAGCCTTTTTACATATGTATAAATGAATGTATATAGAACATACTCTAGACTATGAGGGGTCTTATTTTAATACACCTGACTGTGGGTGGCACATCAGGGTGCTCTCTGAGTGTTTTAGTCATTCAGATCAAGTATGTATTTAAAGATTGTCTCACTACTTATAGCTGAAGGATGTTGATGTTTAGGCATCTAGAAGGCTCCAAGGTTGTGGCTTATCTAGGTTTTTGTTCTGAGAGGGTGAATTAGAAAGGCTTTGAAGGCATCAGACACCTTCACCAGTCAGGGGGCATGTTTTCTCACTAGGCTGGGGTGTGGGAGTAGCTGGGGCCTGCAGGTTAAGGCATTGGTAACCTGCTCTCTGGCAATGTCCCTACCTTATTGAGAAAGAAGATGTATCTTTCTGATGTTTAAACCAAAATAATGGATGTGTAGATCATGTCACCGTTTCTCTAATAGCAAATCTGTTTTCCCAGTTGAGACAGACAGCAGTACATTTCTGTACAAGAATATGTGGTGTTAGGATCTATCTGTTCAAGAATGTCTGTAAGAATGCTTTTGTTCTAAAGTGAAGCCTGGGGAAACTTTCTACCTTCAGCATGATGCTCTGCGCACTTGACTCCCATGCCATCTCTCCTCTAAAGAGAGTGAGCTACCTTTGGAAAGTGGAGGTTGTGAGTATATTTTCCATCTTTGAAAACACGTTAAGGTGAGAGAAAAGACAGCTATCTGAACTTACGTTTTTCCTGTGTGCAGAAATCTGTTCTTTCATCAAACCACTAAACCACTTGCCTTAGTCTCTTCTGCAGTTTCCCATGGCTTGATCTGTGGGCAGGAGACTTCTGCCTGTTAGAAATGACTGGGCCTTCCAAAGCAACTGGGTCTGGCTTCAGGGAGCAGTGGGGTTTGGGAAGAGCAGTGTTCATCCTGGCTGCCTGCATTTTTACGCCACCTGCCAAGGACTGTTCGCTTCTCTCCACCTGTAATGTTGCAACATTGCCTTCTCTCTTCTCGGTGCTCCTGGGCAAAACTGGAATTTGAAATAGAACTGGCATTGCCTTCTTAAAGAGTACGGTTCCTGCCTCAGTTCTGGCTTGGTCTGGTTCTTTCATATGCCCTGAAGGATGTCACATGGAAATGTCAATATCCTGCCATTCATGTTGCTTCATTTTAAGGTTTTGAAAAAACAAATGGACAAACTTCTTATTTCAACAAGCAAACTCTTAGGTTGGCAACAGCACATGAAAAAGATCATAACTGAATCCCATGAAAGACTGAAACCAAAGGAGTCAAGACCAGTGTGGTAAAATGAAGAAGAGTTTCACTTATATGTTACAGCCGCCAAGTCATTAGATGCTCCTGTCAGAGCTAAATGTTCACTACTAGCCGTCCAGGGAACGGATACTAATTGTTGTTTGCAACTGGAATGTTGCATCTAACCTTGGCATTTCAGCTCTTTATTTTGTGGGAACTTTTTTGTTAACATTCTATAGGACAACTGCCTGCCTGGTGGGAAGGAGGTGAGAGAGGAAGCTTACTCTGGGGACCTTGCCTGCTGAAACAGGCTGTCCCAGCACAGAGTCATTGCTTCATGGAAATCATCTGAAGTCTCTCAGTCATTTCAGTGACAAGAGTTGGGAAAGGCCCTTTAAATCATCCAGTCTCCCTACAGGTGCTGACATTCTTCCTATAACCATTCTCCCAAGGGTTTAAGTAGTCTGGGCTTAAACACCTCTGAGGACAGAGAACTCACTACCTCCTAGGGGTATCTGGTTCTATCTTGGTAAACCTCTGGCATTTCTATGTTCTCTGTAACTTCCATCCCAGTCTTCGCCCAGTGGGGGCCACAAGCTGTTCATCTCGGCCAAGGACCTAGTTTCTGGCAGTGTCCCAGGGCATAGCAGTTGTCTTTTGAAAAAGAAAAGCTAGAAAATAGACACTTTGGTGTCCTGATTGTCCGCCTCCCCGCCCCACCCCGCCCCTCGGCCCCTGACCTCCTGAGTATTGGTGCATTTAGTTTCTTGTTGGAGAATGTTGAGAAACCCATCAGCCTGGTTGTTCTTGCTGAGGATGATGGAGGTGGCCAAGGGAGGCAGGGCTGCTCTTGGCCTGCTTTAAAAAAAAAACCTAAGACAGGAGGCCTTAGTTCTGTGCTTGTCCCACAAAAACTAATGCCCGGTATCACTTGGAAAAGCTTTAGCTAGAAAATTCTAAAATATTGCTCTGTGTGGAGTTTAAAGTTTCCGTGGCTGCTGAGGGCTTATACCTTAAGATTCCTGCGAGTACTTCACATACTCTTTTTACTGAGAAAACTTAAGAACTTGGGAGAGTAGGGAAAACACATGTCTTGGTGTCAGAGAAGTGCCATATTTTCATGCTGGAAAGTCCTATAAAGTTGCTGTTGCCCAATTCATTTTTAGAGATAGGGGAACTAAAATTCGAATGACTTGCCTGAGTCACACAGTATTACCTGGACTAACCTCTCGCCCTGGTGAGCTGTCCTCAGGTTCTTGAGACCTTGCAACTGACCAGAGGTTCCCAAGACTAACCTGCAGAATTCAAGGTTGAGTGAATGATTAGGAAAGCAGTCAGTTGAATTTTGCAATACAAATGGAAGAGGTGAACAGAACTAGCCTACAATTTAAGACCAGGGTTCAAAAGTCCTGGTGGGAGATGTAGTGCTGTCCTAGAATCTAAATTCTCACGAAGTGGCTTTGCTCTGTGGTCTGTTGGTCAGATTTCTGCCTTTCAGGTGGTTCTAGGAGCTCATGTAATTCAGTTGGCCCTGACTCAGACAGACTCAGCACTGTGGCCTTGTGATTTGCAGCCTCCCAACCCGTTACTGAGCTAGGCAGTTGAACTAAAGAACAGGTGAGCTCAAGATCATGCCCTGGGAAGCATGGTGCTTTAGGGGTGCCTTTTTATTCCTTTCATTTTATTACAGACTGTTTCCAAGTTTACGGTTAGGAAGGGTAAAGGTGATCTGATGTTTTCAGGTGGAATCCAGACTGGGGCAAAGTGGGACCTTTTCTTAAGGTAGAAATGTCTACATTGAGTTATTTCATCTAGCTTGCATCTTAAAATACAAACGCTTTGGTTGCTTCCACTTAATGAACACATCTTTGCCAATGACAGGGTTAAACAGGATCCCTGTTTTACATTTCTGTTATCCATTACGCCCATCAGAGTGTTTTGAGGGTGTGGATTTGCTGTTTTTTGTTTTTCGTTTTTCTTTTTTTTCTCATTTTGTAACTGCCTTATTGAAAAGCAAGTGCCCTTCCATTCCAGGCCTCCTCATATTGTACATGTTTCCTGCCAAACTTGGGGGATCATTTGTATTTTAATTTTGTAATCTATGGCTCTGTACTGTTGAAAGGCTCTCAATTCTTTGGGGTCTCCTTAGTAATGTATGTGACTTTTCATGTTGCAATATCACACAGATGGGACGGCCCAACTTTTGCTCTTAATAAACGATCTGAATGAGTAACAAGAGACACACATGGTTGTTCTATTGAATGTCCACATGGAACTGGGCACTTTCACTTTCTCATTTGGCCCCTGGCTGTGCAGTACAGTGATTGATGACAGCGGTCTCTCCTCCTGGCTCCAAGTACTAGCACCTTCACTCCCTGTTCAGTCTCAGTGAACAGAACGAGTTTAGATCATGGAAGTTTGGGCCCTGGTTCTCGTCCTGCTCTGCCACTCCCTCACATGGAAGTAGACTGACGGGGGTCTCGTGGCCTGAGTCTGGAGCCTGGATGCTGCATAGCGTACCAAACACCCTGCGCAAACAGCTTCACTCTCTGGGTCTTCAGTTATCATCCGCCTATAAAATGAGAGTCCTAAGTAAACCAGATGGAGAATTGCAAACTGAAATGATTGCAGGGGCCGTGCTGCAAACCGGAAAACTCAGGTCCCTTCTAAAGGCAGCTGCGACTAAGCTCCAGCCTATTTTTGCCATGTGGGAATGCCAGCTCCATGTGGCTAGGTCTTGCAATTCGATAGGAGAAGCTGGAAGTGTAGACTTTTATGTAAATATCCCATTGTTTAAATGTCTCAAAAATTTACTTTTAACAGTGTGGGACTGGTGTTTCTTCACCTACAGGAGAACCTTGATATTTAAAATTGGTCCATCATCTGAATGCTTGTTAGAAATCTCTGCCCCACCTCACTTGCCAAGCCATCTACTGAATCAGAATCTGCGTTTTAACAAAGTCCCCAGGCTCGATGGGGTTATCCAGCTGAGCTTTATTGGTGGAGGTCCCTGAGGCCCCCACGGGATGAAGCCCCTCGCCCCGCCAAGCCTCAGACTCAGGTCTTTTACTTCAAATCTGTCACTAGTGCCACTTTAGCACACCTCTGTCCTCAGCAGAATGGAAGTGAAGAAATGCAATAAATTTTTTTCATATTAACTGGAAGTAATAGGTACTAATTCTAAAGCTATAGACAGCACCAGAATTTACAAAGCGCCCTTCTTCCTCCCCACCGTCACCCTCTCCTACTCCACTCCTTCATCAGTAGTGTAGAACTGACTTCAGGAGGCGTTTGGAGACAAGGAAGGCGGGAGTCTTGGCTCTCAATGGGGATTCATGATGGATCATTGCTGAAGGATGCCATCATTTAGGGTCCCTGAGTTGGTTTCCTTCAGAAAGCAAAGGGAGTTCCAATTTTCATAGCATGGTGTGCTGCTGCTTCTGAAGTATAACAAACAGTTCCTTCTGCTCCTCTCCCTGCTGCCCTCATTCTTTTATATCGAACCGTTGAGGTCTGTCCGCTGTCCTCTAACCCCTCACACACTGAACCTCAAAGAGATGCTTTGTCCTCAAGCCTTTCCCAAGCTGGCTGACCCCTGCTGGGGTCAACCTCCTTTGAGGATCACAGACATCAGTTGTGATGGAAGGATGACCCCACATCTTAATGTATCAGAAGTTTCACTCTTTTTTAAAAAATGCCTTTAGAATATTGAATATTAGATCATCTGCAGTCCAGCATTTTTGAAAGTATGCCACTTGCCACCCCCACCCCCTCAGAATCTCCTAAGAACTCTGTTACAATGTCACTTCCTGGGATCCCATCCCAGAGTCTCAGAATGGAAAGCTCAGGAGCTGGATTCTAGGAATACAATTTTAATTTCCCCAGGTTAAGACTCAAGCAAGAAAAGTTGAGAAGCACTAATCTGGTCCAGAAGCTTTCTAATGCAACAGCTTCAACCTCATCTGGATACCAGATATAAGTTCCCAGTGAGACCTACTAAATGAGGATCTCAAGTGGGGCCCAGGAAACTATATTTACAAAATCTGGGGAATTTGTATACATGTCCAGATTTAGAAAGCCCTGAGTCCAGCCCCCTAAGACCCAGGGAAGGAAAGTAGCTATGCATAACCTCAGACAGCTCAGAAGTGTCAGAGCCTGAGCAAATACAGTGACATGTACAGCCACAAAGACATTATTAAGTCAAATCAAAGGGATGATTTTCAGTCTGCATAAAATGAGAATGAAAATAATCCACAGTTCCTAGCACAGTGCCTGGCATGTGGGAGGACACATTTAATGTCTGAATTGAATCTTTCACTTAACAGTTTTTTAGTTTATAAGGAACTTTCATATCCAGAAACAATAATAGCTGTAAGTGAAGTATGCATGCCAGACAACATGCTACTAGTTTTACATTTTGCATTGATTCATTCAATCACGTAAAGTAGGAACAGATATTAACTCCAGTTTACAGAGGTGTAAATGCAGAGAGTCTGAAGAACTTGCCCAAGTGACATTGAGAGCTAGAGGCACTCCTGGGATTGGATCATCTGGTCCCAGGGACACTTGTCAACCCCACTGTCAACTCAGGAAT